ATGATTGCAAAAAAAATATAGGTTTCCATTTGAATTTCTAAAGTTGACCCCCCAAAACCCCCCTAAAATGTTGTTAACAATTACAAAATTGGGAAATCATAATAGATGTTTCTAAATCAAAAAACTTTTGTACCATACATTTTTCACTAATTTGAATATTTATATGTTAAAATGGCTGTAACATAAATTTTGAATCACCCTGTACATATAAAATTACCAATTAGTCGATTGTATTTTAGTCCATGCATTTTAATACTATTCATAAAACCTTCGACAACTCCATCTGCTTCCATACTCGTTGATGATTTAGTCCAATTCATAAAGCATTCATGCTTGGATGCAATTTCATTTTTAGTTGCTGATTTTTGGCAAATTACACAGTACTTATTTTTTATACCAATAAACAGTATTTTCTGTGTTTTTAACCCAATTATTGCGACCTAATTCATAAGAGGTACTTAAAATGTATTCATACCTAATATATAAATTTAATTAATTAATAAAAAGCCCAAAAATATTCAGTTAAACTCTAGGAGTTTGCACTTCTTTATCATTATTTTAATTATTGGGGCTAGGGACTCCATCTCCTAAAAAAACCTTAAAATCCGCTCAGAATCTAAAATGTCATATTATAAAATTGGTCTCACCGCTCCAGATAACGCATCATATTTTGTTTTGTAGCTACGCTTCGACCACTGTCCGTCAGCGACTACTGTGCACATGGGAATGCCATCAGAATCTATACTTCCGCATTCTAATGCAATTCGTTTTTCTTCTTCGCCAGCTTTCCTTATTTCTTCCCACGCCGAATCGTGTATTGAATTGGCTACTACACTCTGTAGCTTAACGAAACCGGTACAAGAAAGTGAAGGCATTTCTAAAAACGCAGCAAACTCGGACATTTGGGTGTGGCCGATCCCTGTCAATATAATATGTAGAGTGTAGACACATGATTATTTAGGTATATGTTATACTTTATTTCAATTAATTGAAATGTTGTATTTTACCTATAGCCTGACAACCACTGATTATTGCCTTATTAATTGGTAGACATTTTTGTTGAGCATTTTCTGCAGAGTATATTTTGGACGTTATACCACACATTTTGCACTTAAAATTAAAAACAGAATGAAATCCATAAATTTTTTCCGATTGGAACTGCATATCAATAAAACTGCAGTCCATTCCTCCACTGTGACGAACTTGTATTTGTTGTATAAAAAAAAAAATATCAACAATACGACGTCCAGATAAACAACTAAAATTCCAAAATATAAAATATTATAAACAAAATAACAAATGAAACTATTGAACATTTACCTTTTCGTATCAATATATTCCGATGAACTATTTTCAGTATCATCAACTTGTTGTACATTTAATAGATGCGATGATACACTTAAATCACTAAAATTAAAATTAAAATTAAGTTTTAATTTATGAATTTAAAAAATAATATTAAATTAAAATAAAATATAATTACTCCGATTGAGATAAATATGATTTGTTTGACAACGTTGACAATGAGGGTTCCATAGGTTCTATACCACTAATACTAAACAATGAATTTAAATAGGGTAATGCCGTACTAATATAATATTATTATTAAAAACATAAGTAGATGGTTTTTTTTAAAAGAATAATTAAAAACATATAAGTAATCTTACTTTAGTTCCGACAGTGGTGCACCTTCGAATATATCATTGCAGTCTAAACTGAGGGTTTGGTCAAAATCTGAACTGTAAATGATTATAAAAAATCGTGCAAATGTATTTCTAATATTTCCAAACAGCAAACTACTATTGTGATAACTTATTTTACTAACATTTATAGAAAAATAAAACTAAAACAAAAGTTAGAATTTTCTATTTCATATTATTCACGTTATTGGTCCGTAAATAGTGTTGCGTTTGATTATGTTAAATAAATTAACAAAATATTATAAAAAAAATTATGTATATATATGAATAAGTGACTTTTACTTTATTATTGTAATTATTAAAACTATGACAAAATATTATGTATTTATTATTTGTTTTATAAGTTATAAATATATTTTTAAGAAAAACGATTCTGAGTGAAGATGCCAGATGGTTACTTAGCCTATAATATGTTACGAAGTATACCAACTTATTTGATGATGTAATTGTGAATAAAGTAATTGATTTTAGAATTAGACATTAGTATTTACTACGGAATTTTAAATTCATTTAAAAAAAAAATTACATTTTAAAATGACATTGTGTGTATATAAAATATAATAATGTACTCTAAGTTTCATATAACAACAAAAAATATTTTTAAATTACAACAAAATAACTTAAATCATTATTCTTGGTTTTACTGTGTAATTTCATCCAAATTTCAATTTAAAATGTCTGGGAATTTTTTTATCACTTTGAGAACAACTTATAAGAAACCTTGTATTACATTTTCAAAATTTTCTAGCCAACGAAAAATTTTTTATCGTTATTTAAAAAAAAAAAATACTTAGAAAAATTGAAAATTTCAATTGTCTATAAATAGCTCAAAAAAAGTCAAAACACTTTGAAAATTTAACCCTGTATAGACAACGCTAATATAAATATTTGTTGAAAATTTCAAGTGCTTACAGAAATTATTTTTTGAGTTACAGAAATATTAAATTTTCGTTTTTGTCAAAAATTGGTTTTGCGTAAAAATTCCCGTTTTTTCGTTGTTTTTTTTAAGGTTTTTCCCGACGATTTTTAAAAGTATTGGAAATTTTTCACTTTTGATCCCCCAAAGTACCAACTAGATTCACTTTCCTTTCAGAAACGAAAATTCGAAGATTCTTTAAAATCGAAGCATTATTACTGCTCCAAATATTGTCGTCAGACACAAAAAAAAAAACACACATCATTGTAAAATCAATATATTCATCACTTCGTTCAGAATCTAAAACACCATTACGCTTAGAATCGTCTGCGTGGTCCTTTAAAATATAAATAGTATTTAAACACATAATAGTAATAACTTACCCCGAGAAAGAATCTACTAGTTTATCATTTGAGTTATCTGTCACAGTAATACTAATATTATTACATTGAGACTCAACAATTTCTTCTGTTTGTTCAATGTCTATTCTAGTCGATATAGATTTTCTATAAATTATTTTTAAAATAAAATTCTATAAATGACATATTTGGTAAAATGTCTACATTTTAAATTGTAATAAAGCTCAATTAGAAAATTACTTACAACCCTTTTTTATTTTTTAAATCTTTCATACGTTGACGTAAAGCTTTATTTCCAACTGTCCTTTTTTTTGTACGGAATTTTTTGGGTGACATTTTAATATTTATCACAGAATAATATACAAAATGAAACACTCACAAAAATTCAATTTTTCAACAAACTATAATAATTATACAGTGCTGGCTATTGAAGCGCTAGACATGTAGTGCGCGTCCTCCGCCGTGTCAAAGGCGCAAGTCGCAGCAGTAGATTATACTATAATAGTACTACTATTATAATTTATAATATTGGCAGTTAGTAGCCAGTCACCAAAATTAAATTGTTTCATATCGAAACTATTCCTGGAAACTATTACGGGCGAGCTGATTACCGATAACCATAGCGCGCTAATAATTGCAGTCTATCGTGGTGGGGGAAATCGTATTCGATGTCGCAAGTCGCAACGACCGTAGGGCAGCAGCACACTACAGTAAAGTAAAGTTAACAATATTCAATAAAATTGAAATCTTTACGTAAAAATTGTTTCGCGCGGGAAAGAACCACAAAAACTACAGTCATAACTAAGTAACGAAATTTTCACACTACAAACAAGAGAACTTTGACTGTGCAACCTCGTTTTTATTTTTTCGATATCATTTCTACAAAAAAAGTTATTCAAGTCTGAAAAACACAAAAATAATGATTTTTAAAACAATAAGAACTTTTTTTTAAGAAGCGATATCGAAAAATTAAAAACGAGGTTGCACAGTCCATGGTCTACTTATTATTTGATGAAAATTTCGTTTCTTAGTTATGGCTGTAGCCTTCTCGGTTCTTTCCCGCGCAAAACGGTTTTTACGGACGAATTTATACATGTGTAGCGTCCTCTTAACTGACAATAATTAAAATCGTGTTTATTTCTCGTAAAACTCCGGCGTATACGCTATTGATTGTGTGCATATTGTAATGCCAACTACAATAAATACGTACAGCCGTTTTATACGTGCACGAGAGACTTCGCCGGCTTCGCTTCGCCTGCCCTCGAAGCCGGTGACTTTTGCATAACCACTGGGACGCGCTCGAAATAATGTTCTAAGTATAAATTTGTACGCAAATTAAAAGCAATTACTTTTCGTAATGTGTATATAATTTAGTCGAAAGTCGTAGAAGTAAATAGGTACTGCGACTAATGTACAAACACGCCATATATACCTGCGCACAATGTTTACATTTGCATTCACGAGGCAGACCTTATGATGGCTATAACAGTGTTAACGGCAACCCTATTATGCATTCGAATCGATGTATAGGTATATTATTATGCACATTATAGGTGCCTACTTACTCAAGCAGAACATATATTTGTCTGGATATTATAAAACGTTCCACTGTAAAAACGTCGATCATTGAACCAGTGTTATATTATATTTAAATATAATATGGTCTGATATTTGTGAGCGTTTAGAGGCGGTTAAATGGTGACGAGTGGGATTGTAGTGTCGTGTGTGTGTCTGTATGACGTGTTGTAGTTGTAGTAGCAGTAGTTGGAGGGGGGGGGAAGGTCCACGCGAATTTCAAACGCGATATTTCCATTCATCAAGACAGAACACGACCCGATGAACGCGTGTCATCGATTTACTTAAACTCGTCGATTGCTGGTTCAACGATATGTCAACATACAATTTAACGATGGTTACATTTGACGTAAGTGTTCCACAAATATTGGTGGTAATTCTTCAAAAAGTGTGCGCGACTGCCATTCATTCATACCTATACCATGCGCGGCCTCGTGCTCGTGATTTGCACTTTCGAGACGTAGGTTTAAAATAATATATAATATTGTACGCACACAACTATTACTCACGTGTGCCTATATTATGTATATTGTATATGTATATGCTGTATAATATTTGTACTCGAAAAATAAATGTCCATTGAATTTGTGTTAAAATACGCGTGTTATATATATACCACAATATTATGAACCTACGCATAATATTGTGTACAGAGCGTGCACACTATTAAGGATTGCGTCGCACGTGACTTCGCGACATTCGTCCGGGACGTGGAAAAGTGATTACATAAAAGTTATATATATTCTAAATCTTTGTGTAGGCACTTCTGCGACTATTCTCTGTATAAGACGAAGTAAAGTACCTAAATTATAATTTGTATCACTCGGTAAAAAGTGACAAAAATGTCTCCCGAGTTTTCAATAATAACAATTATATAATTATGACATAATGCAATTGTAGTAAACGATATGATGGGCTATAATTATTTAAAATACAGCTAAGAAACGAGTGTTATTAAAATAGATGTTCTGCCCTAAAACGAAACACTATCCTTCCGGCTATCCATTATCCGAACATCGATTTAAATGGTCGCCATTGATTACAGATTTTATTACTAGTATAATTAATAAATACATCATGGCATATAAAAAAGTTCATAAATACAATTTCAAAAAACAATAAATTTTGTTTTTCATATTTTTGCTTATAGAAAAACAAATACTATGTAGATTAGTACTCTGTAATAACTGCAATACCAAATAACACCTCACAACGGTATATTTAAGAGGTCTGATTATGCCACATAAAAATACTAGGTAGATGTATGCAAAACTATAGTTGACAATAAATAAATTATATCTTTGCTTATCCAATTCGTTCATCGCTTCGTTCTCAATGTGATAAAAATAGAGATGATGAAAACGGCTCTCATATTGTATACAAATTAATAACTTAATGCTCTGTGATTTAATAAAATATGTAACGAGGAACACGCTTCTTGATGTAAAAAATATTATAATGACACGCATCACCATTCGTCTATGCATCCCGAGTGTTGAATTGTGAGTTTGTGACTTACTTCATATTATATTATGCATCATCCCTCGTTTCTCAACCCATCCGTGTAAGCATACTTGGCTTAACTACAATATATTTTACATTTTTACCACTTCATACTTATTAATATAAAATGTTAACTTCCTCGGGTGTTTGCATATGTTTTTTATTCAAATATATAACACATTATTACACTGTTTACACGAACGACGAAGTGCAGCTTCAGGACATATTATTATTATATACGAAAAATTTAATAAAATGTTAAAAAATGTTCATATTATGAGTTTTGACGAAAACTTTATAAACCATTTTTGTAAAAAAAAGTAAAAGAGCCTCAAATTAAAATATCCTACCCACTTAAATGTGAGATTGAACATTTCATTTATTATTCTGATGCTTTTAAAACTAAATTAGCTTAGTAGTGGCCCCTGCAATCATAGAAAATCTGTATAGTATACGGAGCCACATGTTTGAGACAACTATGCGATATGCCATTATATTATTTAGTATTCACTGTCGGTAGCTGGTTGCTGCGTGATAGTTAAAAAATCATATTTAGCTTCTATATCAGTTGGACATACTGAAGAAATGTAAACACACGTATTATAGAGGCATCCATTGAACTAACACCAGAATTATTGTTAGATTAGGTCAGAACTTCCGAATATTGTTTTTTTTTTTTTTTTAGTGCGATATGATTTATCATCTATATTGTTTTAAAAATATTTCATCACTGAATCCTGATAACGCAATCGGTCTAGAAAAAAAAACGATAGTTATGCAACCCTGTGGCATCCGGCCTCTGCATTATTTTTTTTTTTGTTTGCATAATATTGTATATTTCTTTTTCGCCTCGGATCTATGCGTGGTTTACATCACAACTGCCGACTGTAACACTTTTATTTATGTTAATTAGAGATTATTGTTGTAATAATTGTACCGCCGCCGAAGCGCTTTGATCAACCGCGATATTTACGTTGTCGCTACCACGGCGTAGATACGGCCAACAGATAAAATAAGGACGGGCACGCTGCCACCGCTGCCATACATTACTCTCCTCGTCGTCTTCAGTATATCTGGTACGCACGTGCACACATATTTAATATAGGTAATAGGTAGGTATCTAACTGTATAACAATATAAATCTGACAAATGTATCATAAAACTCCTCTCGGACGCCTCTATATAGGCATACATTTTTTTAAAACCCTAATCTGTGCTTAGAATGCGTAGTAATAGTACCTACCTTCTAGTTATAGAATTCTATCAGTAGTACATTTAGGCCGGATACCATTAGATCCAAGGATCTGTGGACTGTGACCCCCTCCAAGGTGCAGTGTCAAATAGTGGCCCTGGGCCACATAACTTATATTATTAAAAAAAAATATATTGTCAAGTTTGCTTTAATGAAAGATCGAAGAGCAAATTTTAAGTACCCACCCATATATCATGTTCTTGTTTCTAATATTTGTATATTTATACAACATACAATATTATTATTATTATTTGTTTTATATCAAACCATTACTATATTATTATATAGCTATTTTATTTACTATAAAGATTTTGTTTATATGTTTAAGAGGGGCTACCAATGCCAATAGACCATAGGGCCAACAAGTCCCACGCTACACGATCTGAATACTATATATGCATGGTAAATAAGCCAGTATAAATATTATATGTACGAGTTCATGTGTGTGTATGTGTGCGAGTATTACCGATTTAATGACTCCTGAGAGACACGGTGCTTACAAATATGAAATAATATTATGAGAAGCCAAAGTTGTAGCGACACAACAAGCGGACAAGCTCCAGGGCCAGTATTTATGCATCCATAAAATTGATTATACACACACATACCTCACGTGGTATTAAATGTTTGTAGTCGTTTGTATGACGTATTTTGATACGTGTGCACATGCGCACTTGTGACTGTGATCGATGAGATGGACGGTGGCTGAGAAGCTACAACCGAAAAATAAAAACATTATGCGAGTACCAATAATATACACTCGGTGTACACTGCACCATCACCATATTATAATATTCCTTGTACTTACATATACAGGTGAGTGATAATTTATAATTGGTGATCGCTGATCATTTAGATATGAGAGGAAGGTAATATTATTTATATATTTTATTTCACTAATATAAAGATTTCTAGCGACTCTTTTGGCTTTTTATTGATACTATACAAACATATTGTTAGCTACGAACTAATCAAGCCATAATCTAATCTAAAAACAGTAAATATGAGTTTTGACAAAACGTCACGTTATCAATCATCACTGACAATTCATCAGCTATAAAAGTATACAAACGATAATTATAATTCAGTGCTGCACGATTCGTGTATTTTGTACGTTTAGGTATTCCTCCAAATTATTATCGAGGGAGGTCATTAGCGCGTTCGTGGTTTCTAATTATTGCGTTTGTTTTATGTCAGCTGCAGTTTATTACAATATTACAACCGTAAGTCGTAGCTTCGAGACAGTGTCACGACGACGCCGGACGCAAACGACCTCGTACCGCGCTCGAGAGATGCTGCGTCCAGTGTCAAACCCACTCGGTCATCCGATCCTGTGCGGGTTCGTACTAATAATATTATGTGGAAATTATATTTATTATACAGATTATGGCTGCCGGTCCCGCGGGTGCTGTTTAACATGCGGTCGAGTATAATGACTAATGAGTGATATTTTTTTCCCCCGCGTTTACCGTATTATGGTCGCACTAAGATTTCATTATTACCGTCATGCGAGCGTAATAATGAATAATATTATTGTAATAACGCTTACACGATCATTTATAATCTCCGTCACGGGACCACATCAATCGGAAATG